ATGTTAAAAAAATTTTAAAATTTTTGGCACCAAAAGTTTTCTTGAAAACTTCCCAAAACCTTATTATAACAACCCAAAATTCATTTTACCCAAATTAAATTAAAATAAATTTTAAAAATACCTTTACAATTTTTTAATATTAATCAAACAATGAAATATATTTTTTTCGTTGGTTTTCATAAGTTTTTTTTGCGAAAATGCTGCATACACAAATTTTCTTTTGCCTTAGGGCAAGATAAGAGTTGCTATTTAAGCCAAGACGCAATTTTACACCCCACACACACACACACCCACACACACACACACCACACACAACACACACACACAAACACAAGCACATATTATATAATATTATACGTTAATATGACTTTTTAAATAGTTAATATGCACTTGTCTGAAAATAATCGCCCTCAAAGTGGGAAAAATCCCGTATTCCTTTAACAAATAATAAATCAACTATCAATTAAGATGTCAACCTGGTGAAGTGTCTGGGTGATTTTTCAGTTCATTAACCTTGACCTTTAAGAAAAATAAGAGGTAATAAAAAAATTAATAAATTTAGAGCCCTTAAAAAAGTATCCATTAAATTCCCCTCGCGAGGAGGATTTAAATCTCCTGCTGGGCCACCCTCCTGCCCCCACATGCAGTGCCAAAAGAAAAGGGGGGAGGTAAAAATTTGGGTTCTGGAACGGTTGGGTTGCTCTCAGCCATCGCCCCCGGCAGGAATTCCGTCCCGGGGGGAAAAGTTTCCTCCGCTGCCTGCCTCCTTAACACTGACGTACACGTATTCTGACAAGACAAATATAATTTTAAAGACGAGTTGTGCAACCATTCTCATAAAAACTGTTATAATAAAATGTCAATATGCAATGTACTGAAAAAACCAAATTCCATTAAAAAAGGGGTACATAATACTTCCAAATAAGCACCAAATTTGCTACAATTTTCCTAATGTAGAACAGTAAACAAGCGTTTATTGTATGGTGTTTCTTGAGGCAAAACACCCAAACAAAACCCTGGCGGGGCCGATTCTGAAAAAACCTGGCATGGCTGTAAGAAAAACCCATAATTTTTCTTTGTTATCATCATTATGAGGAAGAGATGATAGATTAGCCTCTGAGAGCGAATTGTAAAATGCTAAACTTTTGTTTTCCCAAATTTGACTACTTCTCTGGTGCGTAAATTTTTTTTTTTATGTTTAGTGGGAATATCTAAAATTTACAAAATTAAAATGGGTTTGGGCCCCAAAGTCAGTGACAGGCTTCGGGCATATGACCCAAAGCCTAAGTCAGTCAAATATGATTCAATTTTAATACATGGACCCCCGCATAACGTCACCTCCGAATGCACCGTTATGTAAGGTATTTATGTAAGTGCTTTGTACGGTATGTTTGGGGTCTGAAATGGACTAATTTTACTTTACAATATTCCTTATGGGAACAAATTTGGGCACTATGGCACCTGAAAATACTTCGGGGTAAAAAAAAAATCGTTAACCGGGGGTCCACTGTATTTTCCTGGGGGAAAAAGATACACAAAACCCCCCGGTCAAAAAAAAAATAGACTTACTCACTCCAGCTTTGACATTGTAGCCCTGAAGTGTGATGTCCCTTTTGGCTGCCCTTTCCCCCAGGATGCTACGGTTGCATCCGAAGGGTCAAAAAATGAAAAACTTTCAGACGAAATTTTGAAGTAAAATTTGTATTTTTATTCACAGATTTTCAGGCCATAGTTTTAAATTTAGAATTGATTATTATCATTATTTAACGGCATCGAGGAAAACTACCTGTTACCTGTTTTTAATATTTTAGGGGACTGGCTGTGAAAAGATACTTTCATTCATCTAAGATTATTATTATTATTATATTATTATTATTATTTTTATAATATTATTTTCAATTCATCTAAGACGCTTAAATTGTTACCATGTTGTTTTTATTATTGCATTCAGGGGGGTCGGCGCTAAACCAGTAGAAATATAGAGCCGGGGGAATGCAAAAAATCCGTTCGTTCCAAGGAAGGGAAGGGAAGGGAAGGGTCCAGTTCTAAATCAAGAGCTCTTTACCAGCATCAAGGAACTTTCCCTTGAGGGGATCAAAGACCTAAAACAAACATAAGATATTTCCTAAAAAAAATTTACTATTCGCCTTTTCTTCATCCATGAAACTTCTCTAAACAAAAGGGGCCTCCTCACTGAGAGTTTCCTTCACACAGGCTTTTGGGTAGGTGAGCCTGGCCATCGATGGCTAGTGAGAGGTTAAAGCTCATCACCCAACACCTGGTCCAGCTCCTCTGCAGCTCGCCTGCTTGCAGTGTACGAGCCAGGAGTACAAACGTAAACAAGTGTCATTGATCTGCAGAGAGGACAAAACTATAAGTATAGTGAAAAACAACGATTATATAGCTTCAATAAAAAACCCTGACTTTGGAGTATAATCAAGGAAAGGTAAATCGGGCTCATTGGACAACTACGAAATCTATAGAAAAAATTAAGATAATCATCGTAAGTGTAGAAACCACATAGTGTGGTTCTTAGATAACAGTCAACATCTGTTTTGCTTTTGAAGTTGGTAGGGTAATCAGCTTCAGATAAAAGATGTACAGAGTTTCGTAAAAAAAAAAAAATCCGAGGAATTGGAGCAGAAATTTGGGATGGGGGTGGTGTGGGGGAAACCCTTTGTATTATTGATATCGAGAAAAACTTGATCGAGGAGATCTAAGAATTCGAAACCCCAGAGGGGGGAATCAAAAACTGATCCAAGGAGATGGAGTCTTGGTATTATCGAAAACTTGATCAAGGAGATGGGTCTTTGATTTCGAAGAAAAACTTGACCCAAGGGAATTGGAGCAGGGAATTGAGATGCAAGGGGGGATTCATTTGAAGCTTAACCCCGGGAGGGGGGAACCCAAAAAAAAACTTGATCAAAGAGGATGGAGTCTTTGTATTATCGAGAAACCTTGATCCAAGGAGATGGGGGAGGAATATTGGGGAGAAAATGGGATCCATTTTTAAGTACTCCCAGAGGGGGAATCCAAAAAACTATTCCAAAACATAAGAAATAAAATTTTCAAAAAAAAATTGGGATGGGGTGAAATGGGAGGGGGAACCTAAAAAATTTTGGGACGAGGGAGCACAGAAAAGAAATTAAAAAAAAACTGAAAAAAATGGGAAAAAAAAAATTTCGGGGGGGGGGGCGATCCGGACGACGCGGGCAGAAGGCGCGGCGGGCAGGGAGGACGTGCGCGACGGAGGGGCAAGGGGGGGGCGGGCGCGAGGGGGGGCGGGCGGGTGGGTCGGTGCGAGGCGGGGCGGGTGGGGCGGCGGGAGGGGGGGGGAGGGCGTGGGGGGGGGCCTTGGTGGGGTGGGTTCGGGGGCGAGGTCAAGGTATTAGCATATAGGTGGGGAAAAGGAGTCCCTGAGGGGAAAGGGGGCACTCAGCCGCAACCCTTTTTTCGGGAGGGCCCGCTAGGAAAGACCGCTCTGTAGAAGGAGCCACTCGCCGCCTAGCACTACTACGCCCGCGCCTTTTTGCTGCGCTTCTGCAGCGTCGGTCCGGATCGCCCCGCCCCCCGAATTTTTTTTCCGATTTTTTCAATTTTTTTTTGAATTCATTTTCTTGTGCTCTCCTCGGATCAAATTTTTGAGGTTCCCCCTCCCATTTTCACCCCCTCCAATTTTTTTTTTTGAATTTCATTTTTTAAATAAACTGGTTTCAGTTTTTTGGATTCCCCCCTCTGGGAGTAAGATCAAATGGACTCCCACTTTCACCCGATATTCTCCCCCATCTCCTTGGATCAAGGTTTTCTCGAAATAAAAGGGACTCATTTCCTTTGATCAAGGTTTTTTTTTGGGTCCCCCCTCTGGGGGTAAGCTTTCAAATGAACCCCACTTGCACCAAAATTCCTGCTCCAATTCTTGGATCAAGTTTTTCTCGAAATCAAAGACCCCAAACTCCTTGATCAGTTTTTCTCGATAATACCAAGACTCCATATATTACGATTTAAATTTACGCACACACACCTCACTTTATTGAACACCTCAAAACACTCTCATAAATCATTTGAATACTCACAAAAATACCTTTGAACATTTCCAAACAACACTGAAACACTTCCAAAATATAATTTTGACTACTCCCAAATACCCCACTAAAATACAAACTAAAAAACCACTGAATACAGTCAAAACACACCAAAATCACCACAAACTTAGATCAACATAACAGACTAACACCCATTTTCACCCCAAATCCCCTCAAATCACATATAACCAAGACGATTACCAATTTCTATGAGTACACTCCCTCCAACTAAGATATAACAATGAGCGCAAAAAACATGAACACAATCCAAACACCCACGAACACTTATAACAAATCACTTCTTTTTCGGTATCTCTAGTTCGACAACAACACCACATCCCACAACACCCACCCTCCCACAACACCCACAACCCCCATCACCCCAACCCCAATTTTTTCTCGTTTAACTAATTTTATCAGAAAAAGAACAACAACAACCCACAAATTATAAACACTTTTCAGCATCTCTAGTTCGACAACAACACCCACATCCCACAACACCCACATCCCCCAACACCCACAACCCACATCACCCACAACCCACATTTTTTCTCGTTTTAACTAAAATTTTATAAAAAAACACAACAACAACCCCACAACTTATAAACACTTTTCCCGCATCTCTAGTTCGACAACAACACCCACAACCCACAACACTCACAACCCACATCACCCACAACAACAACCCACTTATAACAACTTTTTTGATATCTCTAGTTCGACAACAATACCCACACCCCACAACACAAACAACAACAACCCACAACTTATAACATCTTTTCGGTATCTCTAGTTCGACAACAACACCCACAACCCACAACACTCACAACCCACAATTTTTTCTCGTTTTAACTAATTTCATCAGAAAAAGTCACAACAACAACCCACTTAAATATCTTTTTCGATATCTCTAGTTCGACAACAATACCCACATCCCACAACACCCACATCCCACAACACCCACATCCCACAACACCCACAACCCACAACACCCACAACCCACATCACCCCCAACAACCCACTTATAACATCTTTTCGGTACTCTAGTTCGACAACACCCACAACCCACAACACCCCACAACCCCAACACCCACAACCCACAATTTTTTTCTCGTTTTAACTAATTTCATCAGAAAAATTCACAACAACCCACTTATAACATCTTTTTCGATATCTCTAGTTCGACAATAATACCCACAACCCTCATCACTTACCAATTTATTCACAATTTTTTCGATACAAATTTTTCCCCTTATTTTTACTGAATCTTAAAATGTAATTCACATTCCTCCCTACATTACTAAAATTCTAATAAAATCCTCTCCATACCCATCTCCTTGTATCCACATAAATTGATAATATACTCACAACAACTAATCATCTCACTACCCAACTACTGCGACATGTTTCTACACCCTCTATTCTTTTCCAATATATCATAACTTTTCACTTCTATAATTTCTTTTTAAAATATTCACACATTACCTTTATTTTCAGTAAAATCCCCCCCCCCCATATTTCATTAAATTTCTAATACAACCCTCCCCATACCCCCCCTCCCCTCTCACCCACATTTCTTCACAATCCACTCACCCATCTCCCAACCCCACCTCTTCTGAACACACACAAAAATCACATTTCACATCCACAAATGCATTTATCTCATCACCCATCTCAAATCTACTAAAATCACTGTAACCAAGATATTCACAAAACTCTATGACCACCTAACACACACACACACACACACACACACACACACACACCTCCTTTACGTGAAACACCTTCAAAACACTCTCATACATCACATTTGAGACCACCATTTCTCAATATCTCTTAAGAAATATTCTCTCATCCACAACCTTTATCATCTCACTACAAAACAACCCCAAGATTAAATTCGAACACTCTCATAAATCATTTGAATACTCACATAAACACCTTTGAACATTTCCAAACAACACTGAAAGCACTTCCAAAATAAACATTTTGAATACTCCCAAATAAGATTTGTCATCTCTAATTTATCTACACTTATATATTTCATTAAATTACAACTCATCCACCATACTACTTCCCTCATCTCCAACTTTACATCATTATAACAAAAACTAACTCATACACTTATACAAAGAAGACATTTTTACCAAAAATAACATAAACACACCCACACATAGACAACTCACTTTACTTTGAACACCACCAAAAACACCAACAATTACCATTGAATACTCCAAAAATATCATTGAACACCCCCAAATCACCACTGAAAAACTACCAAAACACCCCTCAAAATCACCAGAAACTAAGTTTTAGCATCACCAGCTAACACCCATTTTATAGAAATCCCCTCAAATCACTATAACCAAGACGATCCCACTCATCTCAGACTATTATATAACATGAGCACAAAAAAAACTCATAAATCATTTGAATACTCACAAAACACCTTTTAACATATCCAAACAACACCGAAACACTTACAAAAAGGATCACCACCAACTGAAAACATAACATGTACACACATAAATCTAAGAAACCACCATCAACAAACACCCATATTCACTTACCCTCAAAACCACAAGATCGCAGAAAACTCTTTATTTTTATAAACATTCACACAAAAAAATCACAATCACCAACTCCATACAATATCTAATACACCCCCCTCACTACCACCAACACATACCAGCACAGATAGGGATACCTCCCATGACATCACACTCCATCCTGTGTTTACTTGGCAATCAGCAACGTCACACCCCACTTTTACTTCATTTAACTTAACGAGAGGAAGTTATTTGTTTCAACCTGTTATATCCCCCAATATCTAAGATCACCACAATCAAGACGTTTACCAAATTCTATAACCCCACCACTAAGATCACCACATTTTTTGTACACATTCTCTTAAAACATCATCATAACAAAGATCACTAAAACTATCTATACTTTTACTAAGATCACATAACATTTTGTCTTCTCTAACTCACTCACCAATTTACATTCACACTTACACATTTCATTAACCGAAATTACATCTCATCCACCAAACCCTCCCTCATTCTCCAGACTTTACAACATTAGCACAAAAAAAAACTAAAATCATACACTTATGACATTTAGACATTTCCATAACTAACACACTGACTAACTTTGAACCATCTCTGAACAACACCAAAAAACCACGGAACACCTTCAAAAAAATACTCTGCCACATTTGAACACCTTCAAAAAAAAACCATCAAACACCTCCGAATACTCCCAAAACACTGCTGATTACTACCAAATCACCACTGAATACTACCAAAACACCGTCAAAATCACCAGAATCTAAGTTTAGCATCACCACTAACATCCATTTTATAGAAATTCCCGGACGGGCGCTGCAGAAGATGCAGCAGAAGGCACGGGAGGGCACGACGGACGGGCGCGAGGGGCGCGGGCGGGCGCGACAGACGGGCGCGAGGGGCGCGGGCGGGCGCGAGGGCGCGGCGGGCGGGTGGGTCGGCGCAAGGGCAGGAGCGGGTGGGGGGCCGGGTGGGGGGGGGGGCGTGGGTGGGGTCGTTGGTGGGGTGGTCTGAGAGCGAGTTGGGCCGAGGGAGGGGGTCTCGAGGGTGAGGTGGTCTCGAGGCGAGGCAAAGGCATTTGCAAATAGGGGTGAAAAGGGGTCCGCTGAGGGGAAAGGGAGCCCCTAGCCCCATCTTTTTGGGGGGGGGGGGACCGCTCAGGAAAAAACCCCCTTAGAAGAATAAATTGGGTTTATACATTCTCTATACATCCCCGACATTAATCGGGCTTGGGTTAAGTTAATTTATATTTCCTTTCCATCCAGTAGGAAGCAAAATTAAAAAAAGAAAGTGCTATCAACCATAAAGAATAAAGTGAAAACTGAATAGTTTTCTAAAGTAGGTTCGTGTAAAGCAATCCTCGTTTCAGTCTCCTCTGACGTGACTCACGTTCATCCTCAATACATGAAACTGTGTCATAGATTTTGGTGAAGCTCCTTGATTTTATATGAGGAGAGAAATAACCAGGTCAGCCAGTGATCGAAACGATCAGAAAAAAGTGATATATTAGAAAACACTGGGCTCATGTAAAATTCCATTCCATATCCTTTTTACGTTCCATTGCCTAGGCTTACCATCGGAGGTCTGAAACATATGTAGTAATAATGTGACGGGTATTTATCTCTCTTCGTTACAACATTCGTTGGCTCTCTATTACTAGCTTGATCTATTACTAGTTTGGTCTAGTAGTTCCACAGTTCATGAGAGCATTACTAGTACTTACATTCCAGGGCCCACTTAAACAGCTCTTGGTCGAAATCACCAGGAAGCTCATTATTGTGGTTTCGTTGCTGGGCTGACCTGTTAAAACAGAAATGTTATAAATAGCTCCGTCAGTTTATCTCTCTTTCTGCAAAGCTTTTTCTTATATTCCTAAAATTCAGGCATTTCTTGGAAACTCTTCTTGTACAGAGACCTTTTCTTGCTTTATCTTAATATATAAGTACAGTCTTAATGCATAATTAATACAATACAGCACCTACCTGGAGACGAACTCCTGTGCCACCTGGTCGACCTGTGGAAGGTAATGAGCTACAGTCCTGTACTTCATTGCGTGTACCTGAACCTGTTTCCTCACCCGCCACCAGCTGTCTCCTTGCCTGTTGGAAAGTATTTAATTTTTACTATTGTTCGGAGTCGTACACATTAATGAATCAAATCTGCGCACAATTTCTTGGTTTTATATCAGTGATATTTAATTGGAATAGAACATATAATGCTTTATTCAACACAACTATTTTTGAAGAGTAAAGAATTTCGTGTGTTAATATATATATATATATATATATATATATATATATATATATATATATATATATATATATATATAATATATATATATATATATATATATATATATATATATATATATATATATATATATATATTTGCGATATCGCAACAGTATGTTCTTGGAAAGTAAATCAGTTATTTCAGTGAGGTTAATTCTGATGCTATTTACCTCATCAATGACTTTTTTGTAAATATTTCTATTAAGTTTTAAGAAAACTCATTGCCATCAATTATTGAGTGACTTACTCAACAAATATTCCACCTCCATTTTCCTTGAAAAACTTGATCTTGTGGTTAGAGCGAACGTTCTTAATGGAGAAGAAAAATGGTCTGACTGGATTGTCAAACATTTCTTTAAAAAGATGTTCAGTGTCTTGAGGATCACATATAAATACAATATCTCCCTGCCCGAGCTGATGCAGCTTGAAAATTCGACCGTATTTCTTGAAGCAGGATTCCCAGAAACGTGGAAGCCGAGAGGAGTCATAGGCTGCACAAAGCCAAAATTAGTATGAAAACTTGCTCCAGAAAATAATGAAAATATGGGTAGCATTTTATGAACATTAGGATGAAAGAAAGGCATTGTAAGAACTATTCAATGTACTAGAGTTCTCACCTGGGTCAGTAAACACAGTTGGCAAGGTGCCCAAAATCGGCCATGACCTGGGTCCCGGAATGTCCGAGAATGGCCGAGGTTGTGTGCGAGAGTCTATTGTGCCTACTGACGGGGCTACTCCAGCCACAGAAGACAAGCCACGGCATCGCGCGCTTGAGAGCTGCACAGGAGCCCATGGTATAAAATTTCGTGATGAAGAGAGCACAGGACATATCCTATTAAGAACAGAGAATTTCCCGACTACCATCGTGCGTAATGCGTTGACCATCTTGACACTAGCTCCTGCTTTTAAGGGATCCTAAAAGAAAAAAAATCTGTTATTCTTGGTTAAATCTATGCAATGTCTCTTATGTGCCCAAAATATCTATGAATATATATGGCTTTCCCTATGTCATATAAACATGGATTAGCTCAACTTTCACGAGGGCATAAACCTTGATGAGTGGTGGTGCTTCAGGTTTCTGGAATCTAATGGCACTCAGTAGGTGACAACATATACTATACGGTTCTATTATGTTAATGAAAGAAATGTTATGTTAATGAAGGAAAAAGCCGGTATTAAGTGGGGTTATGGTTCTTCAGACACCCGGGAACAATTAGCGTGTTACTGCCCGCACTACCATCTAGCGGACTGAGGCTAAACTCCAGTTCCTGGTGTGGGTTGAAGTTTGGAGAATCACTTCACCTCCTCTCTTCTCCTGATCAGGTAAGGTAATCTACCAGGAGCATTTCTGTTTATTGTTTTTCATTTTCCTGGTCATCAGTAATGACACTGAAGCTGAATACCTTCCAGCCCCTTTCCCCCAAATGCGCTGTATAATCCTCTGGGTTTAGCGCTACCCCCTGATTATAATTATAATAATAATATACATTCTGTAAACCTTGGAGGGGCTCCCGTACCCCACATGGGTGAAATTGTTGTGATGGTGGTGTTTGGGACTGGTATTGCCAGGCCTGCTTCTGTCAGGATGGGCCGTGTACTCTCCTATTTGTGGTTGCAGATGTCGGGTCACAGCTCCTGACCCTGCATCTTCACTGGTCGCTACTAGACACATCACTCTCCTACTTCTGAGATTTTTTTTTCCCCTTACCCTACTTACCTGTTGCAGCTCTTCAAACAGCGCATAACTACTGACAAAGCACTGAGTGACCGTGAAAGAGCTTTCTTGGTCAGGTCGCCCTACCTCGGTGGGAGAGGCCAGAGTGTTGCACGCGCGCGCACGGCCTGGTGGCTAAAGCGCTTCACACGGCAAGGTTCTGGGTTCGATTCCCGGCGAGGGTAGAAACATTAAGAACGTTTCTTTACACCGGTTGTCTATGTTCCCCATCAGTAAAATGGGTACCTGGGCGTTAGTCGACTGGTGTGGGTCGCATCCTGGGATAAAACTGTCCTAATTTGCCCGAAATGTTCTGCATAGCAAGCGGCTTTCTATATATTAGCATGTCATTGATGTCAGCTAGGACTGTATACCCTGTACATATACTTGTAGAAATAAATATTGAATATATATAGAGGTGACTCTACAAACTCGACTGGTAATAATGTTGATAGAATTACCGAGAATGTTAGGTAAAAGGACACAACTGCAGCTGCTGTCATATTTTATTATGGCAACATTTCGCTCTCCAGGAGCTTTAAGCCGAAACGTCGCCACAATAAAATGTCTCAGTAGCTGCAGTTGTCCTTTTTACCTGGCAGCTTGAATCTTACAACTACTACTACTGGTAGTAGTAGTAGTAATAGTGGTAGTAGTAGTAGTAGTATTAGTGGTAGTAGTAGTAGTGCTACACTTGTTACTTATAATACCAACGTTATAATAATTATATTTTATTATTTTGTGAAGAGCTAAGAGCCTAAAACATTTTATCTTAGCATTTATAGGGAAACGCTAAACCCACAGGGGGATTAAAAAGAGCCAGAGGAATAAAAAGTAATTAAGTGTCATAGAAGGAAGAGGTGGAGTAGCTCCTATGCCTTGGCTCAACAATCATCCACTAGCAACAAGACACATGACCAATGAATTGTGAATATCCCCCCTGCATCACGTGATCTCTTATCACCCACTTAAACACACTTACATAACTCCTCTCCTCGCATACTGCTGAGGATCTACACATAATCTACTGCTGGAAATTTATTAGTAATACAGAATGTTAACTAGCAGCCTACTTAACGTAACTAGTTAGCATGTTTGACCTTGAGCATATTAGCATAGCTACAGTCCTTGAGAGAACTTGTATAGTGACTTTCGCTGCTGATGTGTACCAAGCTGCCTCGCACCACGTCTGACTCGGGCAATATTACTGCTTGCTTTCTGTCACCCTAACTATATATTCTCTAAAATTCTAAAGAGCAATACCGATAACGTTAAATGTACAAATTATTTATCACATTACGTGTTACATAACTACAGATTTAATAGATTACGTGTGCTTGATACACGAAACAGTCATCTAAGCTTATTTGGCAAGAATCAGCTTAACAGTTTAACCGAGTTTACAATAAGATTATTATTATTATTATTATTATTATTATTATTATTATTATTATTATTATTATTATTATTATTACTATTATTATTATTATTATTATTATTATTATTATTATTATTATTATTATCATTATTATTATTACATTCATGGGGACGCACTCAACCCGTAGGAGACATACAGTCGTCTCGGGGAATGGAAGGCATCCAGGCTTGATTCAAGGAATTGGAACATTGGTCCAATTCCTTAGATCAAGAACCCCTCATCAACATCAAGGAACCTTCTTTGAGGGGGATGATTGTTACTACCTCGCTGAATATCACTCAACACATCATATAATGATTAAGTTTGTTGAAGATCAATCAACATAGTCATAGTAACTGTACACGTGGTCAACTGACCTACTCTACAGGAAGGCGCTGTTTGTTCTAAGCATTTCGGGCAGCCTTT